CGTAACGTTACAAATGAGAAGAAGACCGGATAAAAAGAAGTGAGATGATTAATTTTGTTTATGTTATCTTTTTTAAAAACAAAGACAAAAGTCAACATAAATCCTAATTCAAAGATTCACTCCTTTTTTAAAACATGTTCTTTAATTTACATATCTAATTTATAATTTTGAAAAATCATACGTAGCAAAATATAAGAGACCAAATGTCGAACTAAAATAAATGTGAGAAATTATAATAAATTAATATTACACAAGATATACATCTAAAAATACATGCATATCTTTTTGTATGCTTTGCAACTGCAAACTTTTTAATTTTCAAGTATAACGCGTTACACTTTACTCACTGCAAATATTCTTTTACTCTCTTATATTAGCTCTTCTACCCTAGATCTATTTTTTCAAAACGAGATTTTGTTAAAGCGAGTTTTTGATAAAATAAAACTCCGTTATGGCAAAACTCGAAAGTAGATGGGTTCTGCGGCGCGTTCCTGGAGTCAAAAATTAATTATCTGTCGAGGACAAATGGAGAAAAGGATCACGAAAGTCCTTCCCTGGCGAATTGCAGTCAGAAAAATGTGTGTGTCGCAAAAAATAAGGGAATGAAGAGCGAGAAAGAACGAAGTAGGACTATAGATGCCGCGAATATTTTCCTTCTTTGCCGCGGATAAAAATAATTTTAAGCTCGGTAGAAGCAGAACACGGCTAGGAGACGAGTAGGAGGCGATTCCCGAGGGACAACGATAGCCAGGGGCGCATCAGGCAGGCAAGACCGGCAAAAAATCCCATTCCCCCTTTTTTCAGGGATTTAAGCGCTCTTGCCACTGTTGCCGGGCGCAGCTGCACTTTTCTCAAGCCGGCGGATGCCTCGATCTTTCTTCTCGCCCGTCCGACTATTTTAACTGGAACCCGTGAGCGAATTTCCTTGCCAGCGACCGGCCTCACAACGCAGACTCATCTGTTTTTGTTTGTTCTTCCGGCGCGGATGTATATACTACAGAAAGTGGATGTTGCGTTGGGTTCGAAAAGTATAGCCATCTTGTGTGGAACGTGGATTTGTGGTTTTTCGAGACATGCTATCATTTTTTTTTAATGTAAAAGTAATATAAAGTATAATAATGTTTTTAAAATAAAATTGTTACTGTACACAATTTTAAATTAAATGCTTAATGATGAAATTTGTAGCTACATGTATACACTATGTGAATATTAATAGAAGATTTAATCCACTGAAATATACATTATTATATCGTAATATATAGGATTTTCAAACGATAAATTATAATTATGTATATCTTTTAAGTTTTTAGAATAATTTCTAGGATCCGAGAGAGAGAATTTAATATTTCTTTGATAAAATAAAATCTTCATTTAAAAAATAAAACATAAATTTATTCTTCGTAACTTAAAGACAGAATTACAAAGAATTCTGCATTGACATTTTATATTAACACATACGAATTTCCTATTATAAATATTTCTTTAGAGACTTCTTTTTATTTTTATTTCTTTACTCGATCGCACTCTTGAAAAATTTATTATTGGATTCCTTTTCGAGGACAATCGCGATCGAGAGTATGAATAAAAAGTTTGGAATCCGCTCATATGTTCACAATCGTATTTTTCCTTTTGTTCCGAAGACTCGATCGGCGCACTAAAACTTTCAATGGAAGATACGCGGCTGGCCGCAATAGACGCGTCCGAACGAATTTTCTGTCGGTTTTACTCGTTTGAGTTTATTGTATCGGGTAGATCTAAACCTTTAAGAATTTCGCGAGAAATCTTGAACGCATTTTTGCTGACTGCCGATCTCTCTTTAGCCCTCTACTTATACTCTAGAGAAGCTTGCTCATAAATTTAACCTGTATTTCTTAGTTTTAGCTTGTAAATGAGATAATATGTTTACGAATTTACGATTTTGAAAAAAAGAAAGAATAGTTTTTAGAATATATAACTTACAGTTAAATTTTATTATTAAAAAATGTTTTTATAATCTGAAAATATTTTATATTTTTCCTTTTACAACTACAACGTGCATAATTATATTATGAAAAGCGCAGGAAAAGATATACTTTAATTAAATTTTTGTTAAATGTTGAAAATTGTTATTTTGTGACCTTTGTTATTTAATGTTTTTCCTTTGTAACTCTAAATTTTATTAAATTAAATGATAAAAGTTTCATAAAATTTTCTAAAATGTAAATAGCAATAAAAGTAAATTAATATAATAAATAATGTAAATTTAATTATGTTCAAATTGATTAAAAATAAATATCAATAACAATAAATATATAATTAATAATTTTAACAATATGTAACTATATAAATATCAACTATACTATACTCAATATAGTATAATATCAACTGTACTATAATAAATATCAACAGTGAATTAAACAATTTTAAAGATAAACGTTAAACAATTATATTTTATATATCCTAATTTTATTATTATTTTATCAATTCCTACACACACACACACACACACACACACACACACACACATACCACAAAATTACTGCAATTGTACGACAATTTATCTCTCTTACGTAAGATGTCTGCCCAATACTCGATAGGAACTACTCGCTTTTGCGATGGCAGGGAAAGTACTCACGACGGTAGTTTCAAAGTTACGGAGTTGTGCGCGCATAAAGAAGGGAGATATCGTCTCGACTTTCCTTCGTCGCGATTTCGTAATCGAGTTTCTTAGCAGGCCGACAAAGAAGGTGGAAAGTTACGGTTGGGAATCGTAACTTTTGCGTATCGAAACGTTCGTAACGGTCTGATATGCGGCTTGACGAACCATTCCGCCACTTAACACGGTCGAACTTTTTCGATGAGAACGACGAAGCAGACGGAATAGAAGATGGAGATGTCAGGAAGTCGTGACAGAATCGAGAAAGAAAGAACAAGAAGACGAGGTGAAAAACTGATGAAAGGATGAACAGAGAGACAAAATGAAAAGAAGTTTTCCTTTTAGCCGCTATATCGTTCGAATGGAAGCTTGGGGCTGTTGAAAGCTCCCACAAATAGTTAACTGCGCGCGAAAGCACACGGTCAATTAAGTTAGTTTACAATTTTCCGGCCCTCGTCAACGATTTGCTCTTTCAAAAACAACGAATTTGTCTTTCTTTGTGTCAAAAGAAATCCGATTGGGAAAACTCGAGATCAAAAAATTCGCTATATGATATCATTCGTTATATGAGTATGTTATACGTATTGCAACACTCCTGTTACCTTAATTCCCTAATGCATTTTTTTCAGATTATCTTTAATAACTATATTTTAATATGTAAACCATAGCAATATTGAGAAATGAAAAAGAGAAATTATGCTAAAAATCATTAAGTTTTTAAATTTATATAGATATGTATAAAATATACACTAATTATGCAAGTTAGTCATTATTTAATGAAATATTTTTCCATCAATTTAATATTTATTTAGGTTGATTTTGGACGATCTATAATTTGCATCACATTTCAAAATAGAAATTTTGAGTCTTTATACTTTCTATTTATAGATTTTTATACCGCAAGTACGAAAAACTAGTATTTTCTCGATGCTTCAAAACTCATTTTAGATAATCTATAATTCATATCAGAATTCAGGATAGAATTTATATATATTTATAGTTCCTATCGATGTGTATGTTTTAATCTATATTTTATATATGTATACATTTCTAATTCTCTTCACAATAGTCTTACAACATAAATGTGTAATTCAAAAATATTTGAAGAGGCAATACAATACAATACAAGCAATTTGACTGATAGTTTTAATTATTGATTATATTCTGGTTTATCAATCGCAGTTGAGATGTGTGCTGGTACATTTTTATTTAATGACTCATGTTCATTGTTAAATATTTTTATAGACTTATTGCGACTGTTATAATGGAAGAATATAACCGATAATATTATCGGAACGAAAAGCACTGCATTGTTGCGAAAGATAGATATGAAGAAACTACCAACTTTTTGCGTAACTATAAATTTCGAAAAAATACTAGTTTTTTTGTAATACAAATGAATAAAAAAAAGAGTAGGTAATAAATAACGTAGGTAAGTTAAGAATCGTTTGGAAAATAATAATCATGTTTCATAATAGAAATTTTTAAAAAGAAACCTACATAATTCTTATATGATAAGTTGCTATGATTTACTGCACAATGTATTGTACTTATAGAACACATTGCATAATGATGTTTATCGACATAGGAGGAAAATGAGCGTTGAAATTTAATTTTGCTATGTAATTAGTGGCAATTTTGCAAAAGTTGCCGCTACTGCTCCTGCGTCTCTGTAGATTAAAAGATAAAACACAAAGGTAATAAACATACATAAACGACCGTCCACGCGTAATCCGTTGTCGTTCAACAGTTCGGTGAACACTATTCACAAAAGTAGATTAAACAGCAGCCCCGGAGCTATGCTATGAAGTAAAATGAAACAAAACGATTGCAGAATACGCCGGCTCAAAATAGGTGGGACAAATAATTATTACAATGTAAATATTTCCTGCCGTTTCGTTTAGACTGAAAAAGTAATATAGGATCAAGCGTAAAACATTTGTTCCTTTTATTTCTTTCAAATGTGTCTCTACCTTTTTCCATATTTACAAGTGCTTTTAATTAAGCATTTTCATTTACCTCCTTTTTTTAATCAGATTTTCGCGAATAATCCGATGTTTGTAGAAAACGATAACATAGCGAATATTACTCTTCATACCTAAGTAAATTATTCATGTAATTTATAAAATAAATGAATTTACTTACCTTTGATAATTTTTTAAAAAAGATAGAGGTACGTAAAAGGAATTCGAAATTTATTGCGTCGCACAATTAAACGAAAAAACGAGATAAATTCCGATCTTTTATTAATTTAAGCGTGCGCGAGACTATTAAAAATTGCGTTTATTATGATGCGACGACGCCAGATTGCCCTGGCGATAAATGAACATTCGAGCGTAAATATCATGGATGAAAATTTACTCACCCATCGACGATGCTGCGCCGTCCCATTGCTGCATCCTACATCCTGCATTCCACATTCCTGGTTTCCGGCCGATACTATGCTCCAGGTTCCTCCAGGAGGCCGCCTCTCACACACATATACACACACGCACACACACGAACACGAGTCGATCGGAAGCATCCTGTTAATTATGACCCTCGTGCATCAATTAATGACCATCCCATCCACTTTGTTGAGTTGCGCGCATAACGCACACCGACTAAGTAACGAGAAATACGAAAACGTGACGATTTCCTCTCCCCATTTTCGTCGATTTCATTCGAACAATTCTCCCAACTGTGACGTGTAACAATTTACAGCGCTTTATATAATAACAACGTTCACAACGTGACGTACGGTTGACTGAGTTGACTCTGTTCTTTCGCCTTCAACACGCGTGATCGCGCCGACTAATCAACGGTCCGATTTGTTTGCGGAAACTCTCTCGTCTCGTTACACACTCGGTACATTCACGGCCATTAAAAAGTTCGAAAAAAAAAATAAAGGGACGCTGTCAACTAGTGACCGACGCGATTTTCAACCGTTTTCATTCGGGAATCATAATCGAAGTGTCTTTTTTCACTTGACCTAACCTAACCTTGATTCAATTAACGTTTTCCTTCCAATGTTCCTCTCGCGTGACTTCTAATGTCCATTAGCCATCAATGCAAATTAACTTTCATCTCGAATAACTTACTTTTTATCTTTTTCCAGTTCTAAGAATTAGAGAAAGATAAAGAATAAGTTAAACCGATATTAAGGTTAATCTATGTTGGTAGAAATGGACATGAATGCTCGATCGCGCGGCTTGCGTGTAACTGTGGTATTTTAATGACGCAAAATACAAGTATTGAAGCGTACTTATGTGATATTCTAGTAAACTCGATGCACAATTCGACGAATAGATCATTAGTTGGCACTCACACAACGTACGCGGAATTCACTTTTGCCGAATACGCGACGCGAATTGCACGACGAAACAATGTGTGACGTACGCGACACGTATCTACTGATTGAATGTAGCTACGAAACGAATCATGTAGTACAGTGTCGTCCAAGGGTGTATTCCGTTTCACGTATGATATGCATGATGTATTTATTCATTTTAGCCTTTTTTAGTATTTCTTGAATAAGAATAATATATTATATGCATTATGCGTAAAATAGAATTTTAAAAGTATAGTCAATGTAATGGACTTTCTACAATAAATCATTAAGTATCCGACAAACACAATGAGTGTAGTAAGCTTTAAGCTTTTAAAAATTGATCAATCACAATCGAATGTGAGAAGAATAATTGACTGATTGATGATTTCTTAAGGCTTAAGATTTAAATAACAAATTTATGTATTATACAAATATATATAAAATATATATCATATATATAATAATAAAAAAATAAATAATAAATAAGTGCCCCTTTTTAAAAATCCAATAAATTATTCGTTAAAAATTTAAGTTAGATGTAGCCCGAATGTATGGAAATTCAATACATGCCAAATTCACGTGTATGGAATGGAGTACTCTATCACTCCACACATTGATCGCCGCTCCTACATTTGACTGTGATTAGACAATTTCTTACATACATTTTACAATAAGCTATTAATATTATAAATCAGAAGTTACAAGTTAGAAATTGATCAATGATAGTTATTTATTCTTCTTATATTTAAATGTGTTCAATTTTTAGCTTCTGATTTTTAATTTATTACTAATGGCTTATTGTAGAATGGTCATTATAACTTAAAACATAAAGCTTAAGTAATCCGCCGACTTTATTGTAGAATGTCTATAAGGAGCACAAATTCTTGTATAACATAAGACATAAGAAAATCAGAGCCTTTTATTTCATGAAAAAAAAAGGAAATAGAAATTTTTGATTGATTTATTTTCTTACGCGTTGTATGTTATGCAACTGTGATTCTACCACTCTCATGTTATAAATAGTCCTGTGGCGAGTGTCTTTTCGGAACGCTGTAACGCTTCAATGTCTCACGAAAGTCTGAACGAACACTAATGAACACCTGCGAAAAGTGCCAGCTTATATAGAAATTTTCGTAGGTAGTCGCGGACCAATCAGCGAGTCTCGCGCAGCGACGACGCTGACGATTGGTCCGCGATCACCTACGAAAATTTCTATATAATATGGCACTTTTTCGAGCGCTCGCTCAGACTTTGGTGAGACAACGAAGCGTTACAGCGTTATGGAAGGGCAAAGCCGAGACCTCGTTCAGTTTACAAGTGTACGAAAACAAAATAACGTAAAATAATTTAATTGATTTATCTATTTAACAGAACGGTTATACTTTATCGCAATATAAAATATACATTATAAATGATAATATATTAACGTTATATTTAAAATAATCGCATTAAAGTATTAAGGATTTGTTCGTACAATTGTAATGCGATAATTAATTTATAATTACACATTATCGCGATTTCTCTCTGGTAATCAAATTATATAACAATTTTTTTATTGGACAGAATTAAATTCTGTTAACATTCAAGATTTTTTTCTAGTTAAAATTAAATCCTCTAGATTGCGATATAGTATGATACGAAGTTAATCGAAAACGGTCACAAGCTGAATCACGTAAAGCCGAACCGGATATTTTCGCTACACAAACGATTTTGCTGAAAGATGTAAAAAATTTTACTGGATACAGATCTGAAAATAATTTTTATTGAAAACTCAACATGGTTGCTAGAACATCACAATTTTTCGCAGCACTTTTTCACCATTTTTTAAATTTTCCAACATAGTTATTTTGTGTAATAATTCAACACAAAATTATTTTTAAATCTATATCAAAATTTTAGATCTTTCAGCAAAGAATATATCATTGATTATGGTGTTTCAGACAGAAAAGTAGTCCTCAACAATTGATTCCTTTAATAAATATTGAGCTTTTAATAATTCTTTTAATATAATCATATTTCTATTATAAAGACATACATAAAATACGATTGAATAATTTTCTTTATGCATACGTTATATATGTATTATATACAAGTTTGTTTGAATAGATCTTAAATCTTATAAGAAATTCACCATTCATAATCAACTATATTCTCGCATTCGACAATGACTGATCAATTTTTTACAGTTTAAAGTTCGATGTATATAAAACGCAGAACGCGAGTTGCAAACTTTTTGCGTTAACTAATCTCGAAGCGTCGTCATTTTTAAAATTGACGGATTGATTGACGCAACAAGCTTGAAACCTACGATTCGCGTTTTGTGTCTCATGTTCGGACTTAAGACTTAAAGTTTAAGTAACGCGTTATTATAAAAAGCCCATAAGAATACGTGAGATAAATATTATATGCAAATATGCGAGATCGTTATTTCTGTGCTCAACCGACTAATACGTATATACGCCGTTCGCGCGACTTGCTATGACGAGTGTTTGTTTTTAATCGCGTCACCTTCCCGAGCGCCGTTATTCCGAACCGAACAGTCGACAACGAATTCCGAGAATTGGCCACTCGCCTCGGCGCGTGTTTTTCCGGGAAGGGGAACGAAGCGTGCAAAGAATGTGTCTCGGGAAACGAAACAGATCGCTACGGGCAATCAAATAGTGCGTATGAACTAAGAAACTCTCTCGTTTCCACGGAAAGTAGTGCCATATTGAATATACGCATTCGTTTGCTCCTTCGAGCATGTAGATCGTAGAACGAATCATCGGAGCAGCTAAGATACTCGACGGTAATTAGCTTTTTGTCAGTTTTCGGAGTGATTCAGTCTGAAATTCGTTTTAGCATTGTATTTTTTGTCTTTTCAATTTGAAACGGCCTGTCTTTCTCTCTCTTTAAAGTCGAGAGAGAGAGAGAGAGAGAGAGAGAGAGAGAGTGTGTGTGTGTATGTGTGTGTGTGTGTGTGTCTTAAGTCTCGCTGAAAATCAAAATAATGTTAGTGCAATCGAGCCTTAATATCATTTTTCGATCAGTTACGATTGATTTTAACATCGCTGTGACGTTATCGTGACCGTCTTGCTTGGGTGACGCCGCGATTCGCGCAACGGTGTGAAGTTGCCGCCGGGCGAAGCAACTTCACTTCGAGTAACTAGGCGTTCGCGAAGCCTTTGACGAACATGTCGGAAGCTCGTGCGAAGCGTAACGGCTATATCTCACGCGATCCGTTCGCCGAGAGCGTCGGGAGTGCGATAAAAATGTCGCGAGTACGATAAAAACGTCGGGAGTGTCGTAAGTATTAATTAGTGCGCATAATCGGCCGCGTTTTCCCGATAGGTTCGTATCCACGCGAGTGAGTGAGTGAAACAACGGAGCAACGGATCCGACAGCGGCGTGGGATAATAATACGGAGCAGCTCTCCTCTTCGTGAGTATATTTATTAGATGTTACTAGTTATTTATTACTCGGCATTTTCAATGTATGTGTTCGTTGCTACACGTTTATCAGCGGAGATCGAAACCGCGATATGATTTCGCCGAGTTCGATTCCCGATACGCCATAAAAGGAAGAACCTTGCGTTTCAATTTGTACGAATAAGCATAAGAATTATTATTGTTGCATGAATTGGCATCTAAATATGAACTCAGTGAAATTATACAGGTATTAATCCTCGTTAATTGGATACATATTAGATTTTATTTATTGAACGAAGGAGATGCTTTACAATTTACGTTTCACGTTTATTTTAATTATTACCATGGACGTAGACAGGATTTTGTTTAGAGGAGGGGAAGACAAATTATAGGTGCGATTTTTGAACTCGGAGTGAAGGAGGATAATCGAGTGGTTTATCGGACTTGTTTTATGTTTTATATTATTTTTAATTAATAAGCAGATAAAAAAGTTATGAAATCGCACATATTTAATTTACGAATTTTTACTTTAATTTTTTCTTAAAATTATAAATTAATTCTTCAGGCTGAAAACATTTAAATTTATAATACTAGTCGTCTTGGATTCTCAGAAAATCTTTCTAAACTTCCACCTCTAATTCTTTTTTCTTTTTTAAAATTAAAATTTTTTAAATACTTATTATGCATAGTCCGTTTAAACAATTTTAATTATTTTTGGTATTTAAGATTTAGGGGTGGAAGGGGGAGGATGACGCCCTCTGTTCCTCCCTTTCCTCTGACTACGTCCATGATTATTATTGACTTATTAACTGCGTTGAAAATTGTTATGATCGCGCAAGCGAATATTCACATATAAAAC